CATCATAGGAATACTATTCCAATTTTTGGTTAGCTTTGTCTATAAAATAATTATACGTACTTTGTTACGGCTACGGTATGCCACGTCAAGCTTTGATTTTGTCGCTACAGTAGTGCCATCTATCGAAACTCGATTGCACTAAAACGATCCCTTTGCAAAATAGATAAGGGGAGACGGAAGGGAATTAGACAATAAATTTGCAGACAATGGATCTTTATGAGATATAGGTCAAAGTGTAAGTATTATACTCCGTGGGAATGTAGAGGAATTCTGAGGGTGATGTACCTATATATTTAGAATGCACAATATTTTAGAGTTCAGTCAATTGCGTGGTTGCAACCAGGAAGTAACGGGACTCTATTTCTCAACTACTAAGTGATTGGAAAAGTGTAATAATAAATAAAGAAGTGGAAATATTTTTGTTGACTTTAAGAAATTTCTATGTCTTCGGTTCGGTCGGAGTTCGGTTTGGTGAATGTGCGTCTATATTGTGTGTATAATATAAAATAGAAATAAAACATGAAAGTGATAATTAAGTTATTTTGCAATGCGTTGTTTAAAAAGGATTAAGTGAAAATAATTAAAAAGTGAATAGAATTTAGTTGATTACTCTATAATTTAATTTGACTTATTAAATATCCACTATTGTTTTATAGGAAACTTTGTAATATGCAACAGGTGTTATAAACAAAACTGTGTTTATTTATGAACAAAATTTTATCAATTGTGTGAGAGACCATGCTTCTACATATTATTCAATACGATATGAGTCATGCCAAAGTTTAATTAAGTTAAGAAGAAGTTTCATGTATGTTATAAAATGATTGCGAAAAAATCGAAATTTAATTTAAAACAAGAATAAAGTTCCCAATATTTTGAGAACTCTATTCTTGTTACTAATTCGCATATATTTATAATTAAAAATTCATTCAACATTCAAGAAATTTGAATTTAAATATTAAAATTCTATTAAATACTGTAGGACATTTATGATTAAAACAGTCGTTTGTAATTTTGTTCATAGATTCTAGAGCTTGAGCTCATATCATAAAATATCGTTTCTGGAAACAATAACGTATTTTCCGTTTAAGTACTTTATTATTGGCTATCTCAAATCTTTAATGTTTGAATTACGAGCATTAAAAAAAATGTAATATTCTGTTATAATATGATAATACATTGTCGCATGCAGTTTAAAACCGCACGAAACATTAATATCTTGCATACAGCCATAATTAACTAACTTGCTTAGTTTGTTATTTGGATATATCGCATGGAATATACTTAATAAAATTTGCTCTACTTACTACCAAACAAAAAAAATGCTTTTTTGCCACACCAATAATGATTTCTTGTTGTTACTCTTACTTATGTTACTTTTTTTTTATTTATAGAGATCACTCTAAAACATATAATCCATAGCCGTTTTCAATGGACGATATTCGACGATCTCATCTTTCAAACATGTTTTAGATATAAACAGGCAATCTGATATTTTTTATACGTAAAATGGACAGTTTCGGTTAGTTTTTATAAACTGCAAACCTGTTTGCAAAACCTAATATTTGAATACTATGGATTTCCGTTCAAAATTAAAAATGGGCCTTAAATTTTCTCATCGCCAGCTCATCGGTTTGACGCAAGTCCCGTATTGACTTGATTATACATTATCATCTGAGTAAACAGGGTGATATCATCTCTCCATCCATACTGGCTATTGCACAGGTGGTTTATTGTTCTGCCCATTATCTAAACGTGGCGACCTTACACGCTTTGCTATAAAATAACGAAAAGGTAGCTCTATGCTTTTAATTTTGTTTTTGTAATATACTAGCTGTTAAGCCGCAACTTCGGTCGCGTAAATTATTATAGTCTATGTCAACCGCGTATGATCTAGTTTTTCGCAGGTGGAAAAATTATCGAAATCCGTCCAGTAGATTCGGAGGCAATTCGATGCATATAAACGAACAATCTTTGTATTCCTCTTATAATATTAGTATAGATCACTGCATCTATATTAACCAAGTATCAACGGAGTCCCCTAACTTTCTTTTTTATTTAACAAAATATGGTCAACTATCATTGCTTTATATTGTAGAATGAATTTTTAAAATTGGTTTAGAAGTTTTGTCCGTCCAATTTTGTCTTATATAAAGAAAAAAAACAAATCTCTTCCTTTAGTATATTAGTCTACCTTTGAAATCATATGTGAATTTTGTATTAGTTATTCAGTAAAATTGAAGGTCATTTTTACTGAATAACTAAGCACTTTTGTAAATAGACACCATAATAAATGCAATACATAATTTTATACTCTATATACAATTAACTAAAATAAAAAGTAATCTCACAACGTTCATAAGATGGAACATGGAACTATAAGTAAGTAATGTTACCCGTTTAGTACTCATTGGTTATCCTTATCAAATTAAACGCGCGAGACCTTTAAGCATGAGTTCCTAATCGTTTTTATCGAGCGCTCTCCATCAACACCATTTATTTAATTGTAATTGAACAGCAATTAAGCAGCTCGCTGAGTTTAATCTTAGTATAACAACCATAGACTACGATTTACATATTCAATGTACTCGTCCTACAGATTAAATCCATTTTTTTATACTGCACGTGTTCAGACAATGGGCGAAAGCTCTCTACAAAAACAAGCATTCTTAAACCAACAATTGTAATGCACGTGAACGCACGGGAAAATTAGTATATAGAAAAAAGGTTTTTAACCCAAATTTTGCAAGAGTTGCGGAATTGAAGGTAAGGGTTGGAAAAAAATCCTTTCTTATAACTGGAGCGTCCGATGCATTGAACACGTGCATCCAACAATGCCGATGAGTCACGGCCGAGCCTCGTCGCCGATACGGACCGCGTATTATTAAAGTCTTGGTGAAAAAAAAGACATGAGCGCTCACTCGTCGTATCGCGTCAAGGAATTGTACATCTGCCGAAATTTCTCACGACTCGGTCTCTCATATGGTATTATATTATTATGCCGGACAAGTTTTGCTATCTGTACCCGCGTATTATGAGTGTTGTAAGATAATTGCGATGGCTAGCGGGATCGCAGTGGAGAGATATTTTTTAATCAATGGCATGGCGCTTAGCATATTTAGGGTTTAAGAGTTGCATGTAAATTTATAGAGCTGCTTGTTAATATACGGTAATTAATTTGTGTATTGCGAACGAAGTAAACTGGTTACTGGGTGAATAGTTTAAACGGTTTCTTTTAAATATTTTTGACAGTATCTCTGCAATGCATATATGATTCCGTGTGTATTTATTTCTGTTTCATATAATTGTAACGTATTTATGAGATATTTTAAAAGTTTATTTTATCATCATAAGATGTTGCGATTGACCAAGAAATTGTAGCATGCAATTTAGATTTTACGAATTTATGATTTATTTATTGCTTCGCCAAAATTATGCGTGTCCTTTGAAATAATTTAGAATAGACATGAATGTTATTTTAAACTTAATATATTGAGCGTATGCATGCACGTGCATGTTGAATAGTCTATCTTTATTGTTGTCCTGTACATTTACTTTGAAAAGTATTTCGTGCTATTGTGCAAAAGTTTTTATTTATTCAGTATATATTGAACAAGTTGTGACACGTCTTGGTAGAACAGGTTGAAACTTGTTGGTGGTAAAGTTTGCACTTATTGTGACTTTTCTAGCTAGACGATCTTCTAGCAATGGGGTGAAATTAACAGAGTGAAATGGATTTTTAGTGCATGTTGATGGTGAAAGGCTTACAATTTACTTATAGTTAGTTGACTTTAAATTTATTAAAGGATATACATATAGATAAGTATATTAGGCATAGTCATTGGTATAACTTTAGAGGAATAATGTTCATTTATCACGGCAAATTTTAATTCAGTGACAATTACAAGATACGTTAAATAATAAAGAACTAAGAATATTTAATTTTGAAGTCATCTTTAGCGGTAACCGATGTATCCAAATAAATCCTTATAATATTTTGTAGCTAGACAATATATTATTTGGATTTAATAAACTTTGATGTCTTATATGACGTTTAAGAAGTTTTTTTTAAAGAATAGTTCATGGTTTTTTGGATTATCTACTCATTATTTAGGTAAGTGTTTAATATGTGGTCACTAACTTAACGATCATTATAATAATGTAAATTGTCAATACATATTTTAGTCTTCTTATTAAACAAATAGCAAAAATTACCAGCATATAAGGTAACTGTAATAAGTCTATATGTTTGGATTTAATGAATACTGAGAGTTTGGTTTTACGCGCCTTATATAAAAGAATAGCAATTAGATAGGTACTAACAATAAAATTTCTGATATTATATTGTCAACATGGTCTCTGAATTTTATTTCTTACATATATATTATTATACACATATTATTTTATTACATTAGATCATCTTATATCACTAAATTGTACACCTTTTTCTAGTTTTAAAAGAATACAGCTTTCGCTAACCAAATTTTTCGCCAATAAAAATGCAATTACACATTTAGAGCTGAGACAATTCGCGCCAAAAACCAATTGTAAGTAAAATATAATAAACGATAAAACTATTCGAAGACTTTTTTTGTATTGTATCTATTAAAAAAAGGAGTTCATCTTTATACCTTGAAGGATGCGGATAAAAGTTATACAAGAAAAAGTTCTGCCGATTTATTGCATTCGTAATTGGCGTTATACGTCTTACTGGTCAATTAATAATACGAAGACCAAGATCGTACAAGAACGTCTAAAAGCGAAGCTTAAATGGTCACGGCGAACAAAATGTGACAATTAAAAAGGCCGGTAGCCACGGCCGCGGGCGATGCACGTGCGGGCGCCATTTTTGATGCTGTCCGTGGCGCGAGCCGGCAGCCCGTCCGTCCACTTTTAAAACAACTAACACAATCAAGAACAAATGAAAATAATTCTTATTGCAACAAAACAAGGAGTGTTTTTCTTAATATCTACACTTTGAATGTACCGTACCAGAAATGGCAACAAGTTTCTTTCTACCAGATTTCATTTCGTCTTAAAACGTTTATATTCAATATAAAGATTATGATATGATTAAAATCGGGCTGATGTCTTAGATTATTTCATTTGTATATATTATTAGTTTCAAGCAGGGTTGCAGAAAGTAAAAGAGTTGAAATATTTTTAATTTGTTTTTTATTTTATATTTTATCATGGAAGATCGATTGATATAAATAAACTATTATACCTAAAACAATTAAAGCTTACAATAGCATCACAATTAATGTTCGAAAGACCTAACATTCCATAAACAATTACAGAATTCGTTAGTTCTCTACCTTAATTTATACAAAACAACATATTCAAAATATCACATCGGGAAACATTAAAGCTTTTGAGGAGTTATCACGTTAGCAATACCTAACCCTAACTTATCCTACATGGCACTGGAGAATTAAAGCTAACATCACAGACGATTGCAGAAACCAACGACACGGCACTGGTTTCACGGAAGACACTGATTTGTGTTGCATTGGAGACATTAAGCTTGTACCCAACGATCATGGAAGGCCGGGTATTGCTGTTCTGCGGTCTGGCATTCGGTGTAACAATGTGATGCAGCGAAGTCGGCGTCCTGTTTTGAGACAGTAGTCCAGAAGAAGGTTCCTGCTTCCGTCCGGGCAAAGTGCACTGGTACGTAGAAGTTGTTAGGGTTCACTGGTACGATATCGCACGTGTCATCACCGTTGCAAACAAGAAATGCAGCTCCCGGAGAACAGGTTTCCATATCCGAATAAATTTTGCGCTCCAACATCTCGTTGTTAGAGTTCTGTTCGTCCTCGTAGCACGTGTCGCATTTGGCGGGAATACGTTTTGTCGATTTCTTAATGATCTTCATTAGTGGCTTCAAAAGTGCTTTGATGCCGCTGTTCTTCATCTTTTCCGTGTTGTATTTATTCTCGTTAATCGAGTTGTTGGTTGCGATGATATATTCGTTGTTGGCGTAGAAAGACATGTTGAAAGTTGTATTGAGAGAGCGTGTGTTGCGAGTGAGATCACAAGCGGGAATGTGGGGCTGCTTGGCCGACAGGCCTTTTATACCCGGCACGCCGCCCCCGACAAAAACCTCCATAGAAGTGAAAAACTTTGCGCGTGTGTGGGTGTATTGAGTGGTTTATTCGATACCCCAATGCTTTTAGGGCATAACAATATCGTGGATGTTTTGTCAACAATCTAAAGAGGTAAGAAAAGAGTGGCGAGGTTTAGATAAAGGGGTGCATAATTTTTTTCTTGTTTGATGTCCTAATGATTTTTCATAGCAATGATACCTTAATTTAGTCTACTAAATTATTATGTGGCTTAAAAGCACTGGTTGAAATTGTTTGATCAATATACCCACATATTGAATAGTGAATACTATTCACTATTTTATTATTGACAATAATTTGCATAATCTAATATATCTGATGTGTTAATATCTTTAGTATTACAGTGGTTAATCATTCTAGATCTGGAAACAAGAGACGAGGAGTACCTATTATTTAACAACTGATTGGTCATGGGAAATCTGTCCACGTGCCGTCCACACGCTCAACAAAATAATCGAGTAACACACCGCATGTTGCTCATTAGCCCTTCACTCGAGTTCAACAATGCGATTGTAATCGTGCTTACCCCTCGGGGTCACTAAGTCACGCCCTAGGGTGTAAGCGACCCCTGTGCGACTCGTGCGGCGCGCGCGCAAGTCGCGTGACCCAATGTACTTGTTGCAGACTACAGTGTAACTTAAATGTATTGTTGTATTATAAACAAAACTTATTCTAAAATGATATAATTCCACATCTTAATATTTTATATTCCACTAGAAGAAGAAAATAATATGAATGGTAAATGGCCGCTAATGATTTCACCCCATCTTTACTGTGGTATTTAAATAATTTACATTACAGTTCATTAGCATTTTGTCTATAAAAATTATTATTAGATATAACATGCCCACCTACACACAAAATATCCAGTCCGTACTGGTTCAAACATGTAGATTTTTTTTATCATATGTCCGAAGAGAATATTACAAAAAAATTAAGTTCAAAAGAAATCAGTGTAGCGGTGATAGTGGTTTCTGAACCAATGGGGTGCGCTTGCGCCGGCAGGTGTTGCGATCCGAAGGCTCGCACACATACGATGGCAGTTTAAATATACGATCATTGAACACGTGCATTTGAAGGGGATGTGTATATGGTAGATACCGACGACGGAGCGAGATGTGTGATATTTTTTATCGATATGAATAGATTCACGTTTCCCTCATATCCGAAATAGGGTAACGCAAAGGCTAATTTGGTTATTGAAATTTGAGGGGTTGTTCGTGGGAATGCTCTGCGCTCCTAGGTTCCCAGGGTTGCGAGCACATTGAGTTTTTTTCGGCGATGCGAGATTCGGAACGGCGACAGATGGCAAACGTGGATCGTTCCCGTTCTGCTTTGTTATAATAAATCGTATGGGATATTGGAATTAAACATTCTATTTTGATGGCTCATCGCGTTTGTGGGGTGAGGGGATGAAGATGTAAACAAGTGTAAAAGGGGTCAGTGGAACTCGACCAAGTCTATAATTAAATGTCTATTAGATGCATTTTGAGATTATTAGGGCAAGATTTGTTAGGGGTTGAACTTTCGTTTGGAGATGATAGCGGCGATTAGGGATTGCGTGGGAGAGTTTTGGGTAGTAGCTGATTGCTAATGAGTTATGAGTGTTTTTGTAGTACCTTCTATCTATGATTATAACCTAGGATTATTTTGTCTAATTTTCGACATTACTTCTATTAGAGTCTTTCAACGGTTGTTCGTAAAATTCTGTGAAGATGCAATATTTCTATAAATATTCTAGGTTGTTATAAATATTCTATTAACATTAAAAAAGAAATCAATTTAAACATCTTACATAAACAGTTTCCAAACTGTCTTGTTTTCAGTGCCGTTCATCATTTCTTTCATCGACGTTTCTCACGGTCTGCTGATGCAAAAACTAACAATAGTTGTAAAGAACGATGGGCTACGAAGAAGATAGTTTGCGTCATTTAAAAAGTTATCTATTGTGCGCCTCAGCGTGACAAGTGCGTGAGATTGCTGAGGTTGGTTTTAGGGTGGCTTACCCGCGCCCCTTCACGCATTGTTTGGCTTTGCACTTGTTGCTCACTCTATGGAATGTGGGGTCATGAGTTGTGATTTTTTTCACTTGATCATCTAAATATCAGATGACGAATGAGAAAGGTCTTAAAGTGATATGGAATATTATTTACGATTTTGATGTATCATGTACACGTACCTAATTTCATTCAAATTGTTATAATATGTTTGGACATATACCGAAGATTTTGTTTGTTATTATTACTTTTATTAAAGTTTGTGTTCTTAAGGCATAGATAAATTATATGGAGAAATCCAAATACCTTAAGTGACTCTAAATAGGGATCATCGTGCGACATCTCAAATAAACAGAAATTTTCAGATTTCTCCTATAAAATAAATTATTTTTTATTTTTAGAAATAATTTTTTAACGTATGTTTCTTAGTGTTTGTGCCGAAGTTACAAGTATAAAATTATCACAATACGTATACAGAAAGCTATGAAAAATAATACTGATTATCTGTCAATCTGAAGAATGAGGAGTTAAAAAAATCTCAACGACTTTTACAGAGTTGGGTGTGGGAATTTCAGTTACAAAATGATCCGAATATAAAAGATGAGGGTGGAAAATAAAAGGCTATGTATAAATCACCCCTAATCGTCTCTTTTGTTGCCCTGTACACTTGTTGCATCACCCAAACTGTATATTTGGCACCAAGTTTATATAAGCATCTAGAAAAATCTTCATAAGTTAATATGAGCTTTATTACAGTTACATACGGGGCATATTTATAATATATTCTGTTCGATATAAATAAGTTTCACGCTTGTTGTATTGGAATTGGACATGTTCGAAGATGTAGTTTGAAAAATATTTATCTTATATTCTCACCCTTGTTACTGTTACTTAGAGTTTATAATGATATGTTATATTTGAAAATGAACATTTTTTTTGTGGTTAGTGTAGGAGAGAAAGAAGGGGCGGATAATTTGAGGGGTTGCTAAACAATTAACTGTGATGCAGGTAAACTCATTTTAAATTGATAAAAAAAAAGGATCAGGTGATTTTGCATTTGTAAAGTGAGATGTGATTATGTAATTAATAATAACCATATTGGATATTCGTTATATAGGTGGAAGTATTGTCAATATTTTTTCAAGGTTTTGTGATTTTATGTTTTGTTTATATGTTAATAATTTTAAGCACTAGATAATTTCATTATCTATCTATATATTTACTTATTGGGTATATTGTTTTCCAAACTGTGACTTTGCCACATTATAACATGTAAAATAAACTATAGGAATTATATGTTAGTTAAAATTGATAACATAATTTTATTGTATGTTTTTAATAAATGAGTTTATTCAACATAACTTAATTTCTTTTTATTCTCGAAAACAGATTTAGTAAGGTTTCCTTATCACTATTTCCAGAGAGAATTGTCTTCTGAAATGTGAAGGAGCCTTAGACGTTTTTTATCGAACATCTATAAATTCAATTAAATAATTTATTTCTTTGTTGTCACCGTGTATAAATTAACATCTGTGCTTATTCTAACTATTACTATTTAGGGATACATTAGATATTTTTTGTGACGTAATTTTAGGCGATATAATTGATGTTTATGTCTAAAACCTCCGAAAACTATTGAGCGAGCCGTCATTAGAGTACTGAAAGAGGGAAGCGATAATCGCTCCTTCATTTGTGAAGCCTCCCGTTAATATCGTGGTTTATTTTGAATATCTTTGTGATGGGCTTAGAAGTTAATGGCTGGGTGTAGACGAGTGGGTTGTAAAGGGTAATTTATATGGTACGATCTGAGTTACGATTATTTAAGATACATAATTATTATAAAGATCACTATAGTCAGGATTCTTAGAGAATTCCTTTGAACTGTTATGAATTATTGGTATATTGTCTTACTTTTTATTGTTACTGAACACTAAATTGAGAGAAACTGTCAAAAACTATCATGACCACTGTAATCGACAGCAAGAACAGAGGACTGTATAAAATTAAATAATATAACTTTTAACACAGAGAGACATTTATTGATCAACGTACAAAGGCAAGATACATTGACAAAGTCAAAAAATAAAAAAATATAAATTAAAAACAGGTATAAAAGCCTCCTTAAAGAGGCCAGTAATAATATTTCAAAAACATGGTAAAGCTGTCGGCAACAACCACAATGATTCGATCTTCACGGCCCTTGATTTTATGTTAATAAAATCTTCGGGTGTAAACGAACTTAATCAGGATTTTTATAGAAGCATAGTTATTATTCGGATATTTTAATTAAAAATTAGAATCGCTCTTCCTAGTTTGATTCTAATAAGATATTTTTATTCTTATTCTAACTTGAAAGTACTTTCGAAATACAGATGTACCTTTAATGAAAAGATTATATATTGTTTTTGTTAGAACAAGTACTTATGATTTTTATATAATTTTGATACGTTTTAAAATTTACCTCCGATTTTTCCACTTAAACCAAAGACTCTGTCACTAGACAAGCTGTTAAAAATTAAAATTGCGTTATAAGCAGGTCATATACAATAGTGTTGCCAGTCAACGTTTTGTATAATAAACCAGCGGATTGAAGAAAAATATTTCTTCTGTGTATTATCATTATCAGTCTATTAATGTTCCCACTGCTGGGGTTCAGGACTTCCTTATGGATGGAATCGAAACAAATCGAATATGGAGAATGGACCACCAAGCGGGTTCAGTGCGGATTGGTGGGTGTTAACGACTTTAGATGCTTCCGTAAAGCACGGAGGAGCTCGAGCTAATAAATATTTAGCCCTTGCGAAAGTTGCTAACAGCAGTATCGCAGACCGAGAGCACTAACCGCTGTGCCATCGAGCTAAGTTCACTGAGCTCATTACTGTGTATACAACTAGTCAATCTTAGCTAGTACTAATATAATATTCATAGGTAGTCTTTGACTTAGACAGTATTTAAAAAAATGATAAAACTACAATACTCCTTTCTTC